TGTGTGTGTGCGCATATATGTGTGTGTGATGTGACGTGACGTGATGTGCTGTGGTGTGTGTGTGTGTGATGTGAATTCAGCATCTTCAAAATGATATACATAGCAGCTGGGGAAAATGAAGTAGGTACAAGAAATGGGTAAGTTGGCGATATTGCAATTCATTACTCCTCAACTATTCTCTCTCTCTCTCTCTTTCTTTGTGTGTCCTGTAAAACTCTTATTAAAAGTAAAACTCTTTTTTAGTATGTTTTGTATTTCTTTTTTTTTTTAACATCTCTAATGTTCAGCACTTATATAACCTAATTATGTTGCACGTGACGTAAAACTCTCACCTAAACAATTTGTGTGGGTGGTTGGTGGGTGCTTTGGTGTGGTTTGCTCCTTCTTTCCTATCACACATCTATCGTCTTTATACCTCCTTCTTTTTTGTGTTTGTTACTCCCTTCTAACACTTTTAATCTTTGGCACTTATATGACCTTATTTTGTTGCAAGTGCTGTAAAACTCTTACGAAAAAAAACCCAACAATTTGTTTATGTCTCCCACAGCGTGTCGGCTGGCCTGCAGAGACTGATCCTGGGAGTCGCCTACATCTTCGTGTTCCAGATCATTGCCTTGTACTTGCCAGATTCTTATCTGGAATCTCCAGAATTTTTTGTGAGTTTAAATAGAATATTCCAATCTGGAATCTCCAGAATTTTTTGTGATTTAAAACAGTTCTACTTCGGAATCTCCAGAAATTTTTGTGAGTTTAAACGATTCTTATTTGAAACCTCCAGAATTTTTTGTGAGTTTAAACAATTCTTATTTGGAATCTCCAGACATTTTTGTGAGTTTAGAAGCTTCTTATCTGGAATCTGTGGTCCAGAATTTTTTGTGAGTTCAATCAATTCTTATTTGAATCTCCAGAATTTTTGGTGATTTGAACCAGTTGAAGGCAAGAGAGATTACAATCAGGAAGGAAGTTCTACACCCCCCTTTTTCAAATATTTCAAATATTTGTCTTTAATTTTTTTTAATAGTTTGGGTCATATTGGATGCAGTCATTCTTTTAAAAAGAACTTTATGCAAACTCTGCAACATGTTTAGTTTCAGTAACTGACGAGACAGAAAAAATGCCTCATTTTTCCCGTCAGTTACCGAAACCAAACATGCCATAGAATATGAATAAAGTAAATTTGTTTTCAAATGACTGTATTTTGTATAATTCTTGATATGTTTTTCAAATGTTCTGATCATTAAAGTTAATAAATTAATTGATATTAAATTACAGTGTTATCATTATGAGAAAGTGTAGTCCAAATGTCCAGTCAGATGCCGCGGAATAGCCCTAAATGCAAATTACCTGAAATATTTAGAAAGGTAAATTCGAACTAGCGGGTGGTTGATGGGTGCTCTGGTGTGGTTTTCTCCTTCTTTCCTATCAAACATCCATCATCTTTATCTCTCCTCCTTTTCTGTGTTTGTTACTCGCTTGTAACACTTCTAGTCTTTCGGCACTTTTATGACCTTATTGTGTTGCTAGTGCCGTAAAACTCTTACAAAAACAAAATTCGAACTGCCGTTGAGATTGTCCAAGAGGACTGTCCGTTGTGGGTGGGGAAACGGTTGTCTTTGACAGGTGGATATCTGGGACAGTGTCATTTTTAATAACTTCGAGGGGGGGGGGGGGGGGGGGGAAGTGGTCATTTGTGCAGGTAATTTGTTTTGGAATGGTGGCTGTAAGAGCAGGTTTGACTATAATATTTCCATATTTCATGTTCTTTTTTGTTTTGTTTTTTTTTCCCACGGTTTCAGCAACTGGGATTCCTCTCCAAATGTGCCTTGATTTTACTGTGGGGTAAAAATGCATTACACAAGTATGTTGGCGTGTGGCTCGTAACGGTAAGTATTCTTCTGGGGGGGGGGGGGGTTAATGCTTTTTCATTTTTATCTCTCTATCTGTTTGTATTTGTTTTGTTGTTTATTTTGGGGCTTTTGCTCTGAGATTGTGATTGTATTTTAATTTTTTTATTATTTTTTTTCAATTCTAAATATTCTTGTCACTTATGAGATAAAAATAAAGATTATCATTGTCATTGTGGCCTCTACAGACTACTTCACTATTGGACGCAGGAGACCTGAGTTCGATACCCAAGTGCTTGGAAATTTTTATGGAGTATCTTGGTCTTCCTGTTGGGACAGTGTATCCCTCTCAGCCGGGGTTGGCCCTGATAGACAGGGTTGGAAGCCCACCTCCTAAATGATCTTAATTGTGCTGATGAAGGTGTAAAAACACCTACATTAAAATTTTCTTTTTTAATTTTTCTTATTACTCTTCCCTTTTTTTCTGTATGTTATTCTCTAGAAACACCTGTAGTCTTTGACACTTATATATCCTATTTGTGTTGCAAGTTCTGTAAAAACACCTACATTAATAATAGTAGATAGCATTTGTATAGCGCAAATTCCCGCTCAACAGCAGGCTCTATGTTCTTTACAATCAATACCATTTACCCCAGCAGACTTGATAGCATTCTGAAACAATCTCAGTGGGTGGTTGGCGGGTGCTCTGGTGTGGTTTGCTTCTTAGTTCCTATCAAACATCTATCATCCTTATCTCCTCTTCTTCTTTTTTCTGTATGTTACTCTCTTGTAACGCCTCTAATCTTCTGGCGCTCGTATGACCTTATGCAGTTGCGAGCGCTGTAAAACCTCTACTGTGGGTGGTTGGCGGGTGCTCTGGTGTGGTTTGCTTCTTCTTTCCTATCAAACATCTATCATCCTTATCTCCCCTTCTTCTTTTTTATCTGTGTTACTATCTTGTAACGCCTCTAATCTTCTGGCGCTCATATGACCTAATGCAGTTGCGTTGCAAGCACCGTAAAACCTCTACTAAAACTAAAAACTAAAAACCTCTACTAAAACATACAATCTCAACTTCCCGGGCTGCATGAAGTGCATTAAAAATCACATGACTTTGGTCCCTACAGGAGGGCAGCATCATCCTGACGGGCATGAGCTACAACGGCGTCAACGAGCTGGGCGTGGAGCAGTGGGACGCCTGCAAGAACATCAGGGTGTGGCACCTGGAGAGCGGCGAGTCGTTTGCCGACTTCATTCGCTCCTTCAACGTCAACACCAACCAATGGATGTCCAGGTTTGTCGTCACTTTCTTTTCTTAACATCTGTTTGATTTCGTTGGTCTCTGTGTTGGGATTTTAGATAACATAGTGCTGTAGAAATAGATACCAAGGTTCTTGGCCACGCTGGAAAAGGATATATTAGTATGCACTGTATGCTTCCCAAGAAGTTGAGTTTGTTTCAGAATGCTTTTTTGTGTTTGTTACTCCCTGGTAACACCCCTAATCTCCGGCACTTATTTGACCTTATTGTGTTGCAAGTGCTGTAAAATTCTTACAGAAAAAAAAGACTGGAATATGATAGATATGTTTTATATGTTATCAAGAAAATTGCTTCTGCTAATCAAATGAAATGACTCCTCCCTCCCCCTGCAATGCCCCACTCTGCGGCACCATTGGATAGTGGGTGGTTGGCAGGTGCTCTGGTGCGGTTTGCTTCTTCTTTCCTATCAAACATTTGTCGTCCTTATCTTCCCGCGTTCTTTTTTACGTTTGTTACTCTCTTGTAACACCTCTAATCTTCTGGCGCTCATATGACCTTGTACAGTTGCGAGTACTGTAAAACTCTTACTAGAACTAAAACTCCCTGGTAACACCCCTAATCTTCAGCACTTATATGACCTTATTGTGTTGCAAGTGCCGTAAAACTCTTACCAAAAAAAAAAAGAAATATAATAGATATGTTATATATATTTTATCAAGAAAATTGCTTCTGCTAGTCAAATCAAATGACTCCTCCCTCTCCCTGCAACGTCCCACCAGGTACATCTTCAAGCGGCTGCGGTTTCTGGGCAGCAAGACGTTGTCCCAGCTGGTGACCCTGTTCTACCTGGCGCTGTGGCACGGGCTGCAGTCGGGCTACTACATGTGCTTCTTCCTTGAGCTCCTGCAGACAAATGCCGAGACACAGGTGAGAGCAAGAGCGCGCACAGATGACCTGCGTGATGATAGGGCTGACGGGTTCTGTCTGTACTACTGTGCCCTGCTGGCCAGGCCTTCCTCTTTTCTTTTCCTCTATTGAGTTGATAGTGCCGTAAAACACCTACTCTAACAAACAAACTTTTCCTCTGTTAAAAAACGAAAAAAATAAAATAAATAAAACTAAACTAACAGGCTTACTTAAACAAAACAAAATCTTTGGCACTTATATATATGACCTTATTTTGTTGCAAGTGCCATAACACTCTTTTTACTCAAACAAAAAAACAACCAAATCAATAAATAAATAAAACTAAATTAACTAGCTGTTACGTCTCTCTGTTCCCGTGGCAGTCAGTGCTGATAACTCTTACTAAAACAAAAACAAATATATAAATAAAACGAAACTGTTGCATTTCTCTCTGTTCCAGGTGGATGGTGGGCGGGTGCTCTGGTGTGGTTTGCTCCTTCTTTCCTATCAAAATCTATTGTCCTTCTCTTCCTTCCTCCTTTTTTGTGTTTGTTACTCTCTTGTAAGTCCCCTAATCTTAGGCACTTACATGACCTTATTGAACCCCCCTTGGGCAGTGCTACTGACTGAATTGTCCTTAAGTTATGCCATTCTCAAAGAGGGGACATTAACATGCTCTTATGCTCAGTAAAATTGTTATTGGGCTGAATCATCAATGCTGTGCTCATAACTGTGCCTGAACTGCAACAGGGAACTGCTGCTTTTTCTTTCCTAATCCTTACTGTCATCATTTTTCCTCTACTTCTTTTGTTTGTTTGTCACTCTCTTGTGAATGGCTATTTTCAGAATGCCTTGACAGTCAAAGAAGACTTTTTGTTGTTTAGGCTAGAGAGGTGAGCAGAGTAAGCATGATTCCCCGTTTGATGAGCAGAGTAAGCCTGATTCCCCGTTTGGACTTCTCTGTTGGCTTCCACCCCTTTGCGCTCATATGACCTTATGCAGTTGCGAGCGCCGTAAAACCTTACTACATCTTTTTTTTTTTTTAAAATAAATAAAACCAAACTAACAGACTGTTGCGTCTCTCTGTTCCAGTGGCAGTCGGTGTTCAAGCGGTGCCAGGCGGCGGGCTACCTCCCTGAGGGCGGCCCGCTGTCGTGGGTGGGGCGTGTGGTGAGGAAGCTGGTCCTGGTGTTCCTCTGGTCGTACGCGCTGCTGGGCTTTGTGCTGCACGAGTACAACAGATGGCTCCCCGTGAGTGACCGCTGCCGATGATGATGATTTTTTTTTGGTTTTGTTTTTGTGCGGTTTGTTCTGTTTTGCTTTTATTCATTTTGATTTCAAGGGTGTTTTGTTTTGTTTTTATTCATTTTGATATCAAGGGTGGTTCAAAACTTATTCGATAGTGCCGTAAAACACCTACTTAATCAAATCAAATCCCAGGGTGGTTCTTTTTTCTCGTTGTTTTGTTTTGTTTTTATTCATTTTAATTTCAAGGGTGGTGCTGTTTCTTTTACGGGGTTTTTTGTTGTTGTTTGTTTTGTTTTTGTTTATTTTGATTTCAAGGGTGGTTACTTGTTGGTTGTTTTTTTAATTCATTTTGGTTTCAAGGATGGGTCCTTTAATTTTTATTTTTTTATTTTTTTTTTGTTGTTTTGTTTGTATTCATTTTGATTTCAAGGGTGGTTGGTTTTTCTTCTTTTTTTTTTTTTTTGCTGTGTGGGGGTGGGTAGGGGTTGGAGGGCGCCACTGGTAGGTCCTACTTTTTTTCTTTCCCCTCTGTTGTTTCTGCAGCTTGCTCTGTAATGCTTTCTGGGACTCGGAGAACATTTCCAAATATCCTTGGGTCAGCTGGGGTAATAACAGTTGTAAAGCCCGTCAAGCATGCATATGCTCTATGTAAATGCAATTATTATTATTATTATTGTTATTATTATTATTATTATTATCATCATCATTATTGTTGTTGTTATTATTCTCATAGTTACCATTATTATATTATTATTGATAGTATTATTATTGTCATTATAATTATTGTCGTTATAATTATTATTAATATTGTTATTAGTGTCAACCTTTGATCTTTGCCTCCATAGCCTTACTCGCTGAAGGAAAGAAGAATGTTGCAATGTTTGTTATAATTTATCTTCTTTTTTTTTTTTCTTTCTTTTCCCCTCTCTTGAAATCCAGATCTACCACTCAGTGTACCACGCAGGATTTGTCGTGCCGGCTCTGGTGATGGTGCTGGCCCCGGTCCTCAGGTCTCTTATTCCCGCCCAGTCGCAGACCAACGGCGTGCACGTGGAGAAAGCCAAGTGAGTAGCGTACTTCGTAGGTGTGTGAGTGCAGCTGGTGAGGACTCTGGTCAGTTTTCTTTGTGTTGTTTTTGTTGTTCTTGTTCTTCTTTTTTTTCTTCTTCTTCTTCTTCTTCTTCTTCTTCTTCTTCTTCTTCTTCTTCTTCTTCTGTGACTTATACTTCCATCATTGCAAGCTTTGAAAATATGGAATTTAGTTTAAAGGTGCGACAGGTTGTCGAATGTGCCCTAATAACAGCCGCCTGTCAGTCATAATAAATACTACTTGTTTGCCATTTTTTCGGAGTCTTTGTAACAATAACCCTGAAGTTTTACAAGAGAAGCTAGAGTAATGTCATACCTCTGTGTATAGAGCCACAGAATCATCAGACATGAAGAAAAGGAGTGCAGTAAGAATTCTTACCTCTTGAAGATACATATGTTGTATTTTCAGCTTGAGTCAGGAGTCATACTTTCTGTGAAGCTTCCACTCTGTATAACAATTTCCATTTTTCTGATTTATTTTAGATGCGTCAGAAATGTGTGGTTCTATTTTTCATAATGTGCAGATTGCCTGCAACGTGAGAAATTTGTTTACAAATCGACTTCTCAATGTAAAACTTGCCCCCAGGGGCGGTGCTACTGGCATGGGGACATTAACTTCCCGAGTTCTTATGCACAGTAGAATTGTAATTGTAAATGGGCTGGTTCATCAATATCATGCTCATAACTGTGCCTGAACTGCAACAGGGGACTGCTGCTTTTTCTTTCCTAATCCTTACTGTCGTCATTTTACCTCTACTTCTTTTATATGTTTGTCACACTCTTGTGACCCGCTATTTCCGGGGTGCCTTGATAGTCGAAGCAGACTTTGTGCTGTTGAAGCTAGAGAGGTGAGCAGAGAGAGTCTCATTCCCTGTAAGGACTTCTCTATTGACATTCACCCTTTGGCGCTCATATGACCTTATGCAGTTGCGTAAAACCTCTACTAAAACTAAGTGTCAGACTCTTGTCATGCGTCACTTTTCAAACTGACACATGGGGGAGTCTTCACTAGGTAGTCAAAATACAACTGTGGGGCGTGCTGACAAAATGAGGTACTTCTCGCAATCCAGAAATGGAGATATCGGCCAAAAATTGACACCTGGGTCAAATTTGTAGATTTGTAATTTATGACAGTTTCTTCAAGTTTAACATGTCTTTTATTATTTTATACTTAATAAATTGTACAAAGTCCCCCTATCATCTTGACAGATCTGTTTCCATGGGGCTAAAATCCGAGAAGTAACATATTTTTGTCAGCACGTCTCGTTGCAGTTCACTTTCTTTTGCTGAACAGGTCGTGTTACCGGCCTTAATATATGGCAGCCATGTTTTTGCCATTTTTTCCACCTTTGAATAGCTTTCTTATGCCGTGGCATTTATTGCTGAACTCTTCTTGTTTCTCTTTGCATTTTCTAGAGTGAAGAAGGAGCTGTAACGTGCTGATCCAACAGCGGAGTGGAGCGCCTTGGGAAGGAGCTTGTTCCCCGGGAGATCTGATGACGACTGGCATGTGTGCGTGTGGCATGTGTGTGTGTCTCCTGTGTTAAATGGTACAAGAAATGAAATTCCAGCTCTTTGATGCTGTGCGTGTTCACGTAGTATATTTGTGTGAGATTGTGTGTGTGTGTGTGTCCTTAGTCTAGTTTGAGGATATAAAATCTAGATTGAAATTGTGTGGTGCGTGCATATGTGTGTCCTGACTTTAATGCATGGATTGAGATTCGGGGTTCTGACATAGAATGTGTGTGAAGTGCCAGAAATTTACTGTACACCAGGGGTTTTTTTTCACGTTTTGCCCATTTTGTTATTTGCAAATGTTTTGAATTCATGAATGTGTCCCAGGTTTCAATGCAGAAGCGCCCCTTTTAGCATTTCGCAAATTCCTGTAAAAATCATGAAAATTGTGAGTTCAAGTTGCACACAAGAACAGCCCAAAATACAGTAAGTTCAGGGCTTTTCAAATGGTGTACATCTTTCTTGAAAGCCCCATGGATGCGGCTCTCAGGGCTTGTATCTGCTTTATGTAAGTAAAAGGATTGTCTCTCAAGAGATTTTGGGGGGGGGGTTCTTTTTGGTGATCTTCATTCAGTTAAAGGATAGACTTTTGAGGCATTCTTTGTAATGGTGATTCCAGTGCGGAGATTTTGTTGGGAGTTCCCTTTGCGGCTGTGTCCAGTTTTGAAAATGAGAAACACAGATATGTGAGGCAGCGTGGTGAAATCAGGCGTTCGTCAAGATAACGAAATCGGTGAAGCAGGCATTTTTCCTCCAGTTTGGAAATTTTTATCGAATTTCTGTTTTTGGCTTAACCTCTTTTATATCCATGTTAAAGCACATTTCCATGTGAATTTTACAGAAAAACATTGATTAAAGGCACAAAATATATCATTTTTCAGTTTTGAAAGACTCTTTAGCTATTGGAGTTGCCAAACTTTGGCGGCCATTTTCTCGTTAATTTCACCACTAAAACCAGGTGACCTCACTTCCTTCAATCGCAAATATCTTGAGGTTTTTTTAAGGTAAATGGATATTTATTTCATTGGAACCGAGACGAATAATTCAGCGTTTAGACGATACCAATAACTCCACACACCCAGAAATTGACGAGCGCCTTATTCCACCGCGTCATGACAGGTATATACTTTTGTAGTGGTGAGTGTGTTGCACCAAGCACAAGGAGCAATGAATGTTTAACATATTTCGAGTGATTTATGGGCGAGAATGAGTCGTGCAGACCCTGTGAAGACTTTCTTTTCCATGCTTTTAGCCTTGAGGAGACAGACTGGGGTTTTTTTTGTTTGTTTGTTGGGGGGTTTTTTTGGTGTGGTGTGCATTTATATCCTCGTTATATGAAGATCTTTCTCTGTCTAAACAGCAACAGGATGTCCAAAAGGCTTGTGTACATTTTTTTAAACTGAATAACACTAATTCATTTTTTCTCTTAGCATTGTCATTACGTAAAACACTGTCTTTTCAAAATGATGTAAGGATGAATGTGCCTGAAATTGTAACGCTTGAACGCCCGCATGTCTTATTTTGTTTTGAAGAAAGATACACGTGTGAAGGCTTCTTGCAATGAAGTGAGAATGAGCCGTTCTTAAAATATTGCTCAGGATTAGTGGGTGAGTATCAAAAGCTATAAGTGATCTAGATAACTCCGCTAGAGCAGGGGTCGCCAAACTTTTTCTTTTAAAAGTGGGCTGAATAACGGAGAGAATGCCGAGCATGGGCTAGATAACTGTTTTGTTCAATACAATACGCTGAATGTATATTTAAGAAATAGATGCAATGCTTATAATTAACTGTTTTATCAATGTATGAAATACACCCAAAAAATTATTGACAGCCAAACCTAATACTGCATATTAATGAAAAAATAATTTAATAAAGTAATATTGTAATTAAGATGGTTCTATGAATTCTATTGTACATATATCTGAATCTCTCAAACAAAGCAGAAAAAAAGTAAATGAAATTTATCAAACTGGCATTTCGCTTTCAAGATTCTATCACTTCATTTATGCAAATGTTTCCTCAAACTCGCAAGTTTTTCCAAAATGTGATGGCACAACTGTTTGCCCAAGGAAATGCGTTAAACAAAAGATATGTCACATTTAAGTGGAGTAAGAGTGATTGATACACATTTGAAAATTCATGAAATTTATGAAAAGTATGATGTTTCGTTACCACAGTAGAGTTTAATGAAATTATATTAAATTTTTTCAGTGACTTAAGTCGTGAACAAACGGGTTTCTTCCAAGTTTTGTTGGGTTTTTTTCAACATAGTGACATGGCAGCGGACCAGAGGACTGGCCTCACCGCCGGGATCTGGCCCGTAGGCTGCTGTTTGGTAACCCCTGCACTAGAAATATTATCTGTAGAAAGATGGCTGTTTATATATTTGAACCAGACGTTTATTGTCAAAATATTTATTATAATGGCAAAGTGAGACGGAGGAATGTTGGGGAGGAGTGTGTCCTTTTGATATTTCTTAGCTGTGAATGTAATAAATTTTAATATTCATTCCAATTTTTTGATGGCATGTGTTTCTGGCTTCTGCTCGTCGCATCGTATATACTTTTGCAGTTCTTGACATTTCCGGAACTCCTTTTACTCAAATGATATGTTGGAGGAGGCAGGCCGATACCTAAAATTAAAATAGTATCTCGCAAGACTAATACAGGGAATCCTGGTTTTAGTCTTCAAGGGGGAATCTGGAAGTTGAGTTTTATTAAGACTTTGCCACGAGGACACTGGATGGCGAGCCATTGTCTGGGTGACAGAATAGCGCAACACACTGTAGCAAGGACGTATTTGGTTGATATTGGTAAGAATGTTTGAAAAGTCACTCTGCAAAAGTCTGGTGACAATGGGTGCGTGGGGGGTGCCGCCTATCAGTACGAATATGTTGAAATCATTTTTAAAATTTTCAATTTTATGCAATTTTGACGGCTGAGCGCAAAAAGTGACTATATCCACTTTTCATAGTTTCAAGAAAAACGAATTTGAAATCTTGACAATTTTGAAATCTCTATAACATAGTAAAAAAGAAACATTGATATCTCGATACCGAATTAAACTACGGCTTAGATATTTACAGAGGCAAAAGAGCGGCTTAAAATCTCACTACCCATATTGATTACTCCATTTCGACCAAAATTGTGATATGATCTTTTACTCCCTTGATTCTGATTTTAACAAATTAACTTGCCATTGAGCTGCCCCAACCAATCCCCATCCTCCCAGCATATTATTAATATTAAAAAAAGATTATTTTTTTAAAGCAAGCAGTCAGAGTCGGACAGTCTTTGTCACTGTGTCACTTGCAGCCATCTCGGTGTAACACCCTCTGTGCACCAAGCCGTTGTGGTTGCTCCGTGCCACTTTAGCCATAGAAAAGTGTGAGCTGCACCACCAGAGCCAGGAGTAAGGCATAAACATTAGTTTGACAAAGCGTTAAAAAATTCTGGTGGTTTGTATGAGCTACAAAGGGCTAGGCCAATGGGAGAATTTTTTTTAAAAGAACGGATCGTTGTTAAGGTAGAATCAGCCTCGGCAGGCAGCGTGGTGTGTATTGTTGTACGATCGGGATCAAAGGCTTGTGACACTTCCTGTCAATTTGCTTTATTATTAACTCGCTCAGCCCAGAGCCTGAGATGGTCGGGTTGTGCACTTCTGCGTTGGGCTCAAACCCGACAGTATCGGGATGGAAATTTCTACTGCTTAGTTACGTAAACACACATTCAATTAGAACAGACTATACTTTATAAATGCCCTCTGACCATTTCGTTATAAGAAACAGACTATTACAAGAGCAAAGGTTGCTTTCTTGACGTACAATTGAAAATGATTTGGCACATGGTAACAAAGTGGGAAATGAGAACAAGTCTCGGTCTTTCCTCCGAGCTACTTTTTAGTGCGTGTTGGTGACCTTTTTTCAAGTGGCAATATCTCACAGATCATCAAATATTTTTAATTTCTGAAAGGGTAATAGACTGTGTAATGACTAAGCAAAGTGTGTGTGAAATATTTTGGCGATTGAAGTTGTTATAGTATTTTTTTCTGGTTTTACAAAAATATCTTAAAAGTTAAACCACTAGGCGCTGCCAGTAAGTTAAAAGAGTTGAGCCGACAGCCTTTAGCTTGAACCTTATCCTCCCTTTCCTCAAGGCCATTGCTTCTGCGCCAGAAATAATGTTGGGGGCTCTCGTGGCCTAGAGGTTAAGGTGTTGGTCTCTCATTCAAAGGTCCCGGGTTCGATTCCGGGTAGCGAGCGACCAAAAAATTTTCTTCTCTAAAATTGTCTCCTTTCACATCCTTTCCTGATCTCTAACAATGTTCTGTTGTCTGCTTTCATTTCCACTTTCTGCCCCCACCCCCTCACCTCCTTTGCCCCCTCCTCTGGGCTCCTGACTCTTTCTGCAGCCTTTCTACTGCTACTCCTTGGCTCCTCCTAACTGCTGTCTTTCTGCCACACCCCTGATCTTCTGGTAGGAAAGATCTACACCTAGCCTTCTCGGACAAGGGCGAAAAATCTCGGAGGGCCCGTGTGCAAGTTGCGCACGTTAAAGATCCCTTGGTGGTCTAAAATCGATAAGAGTAGGCTTCGGCCGCCACCCGGGCAAAATTCAAAATTTCCTACCAACGAAAAAGTATTAGGTGTGTCCCGCGCGCTCATATGACCTTATGCAGTTGCGAGCGCCGTAAAACCCTATACTAAACAAACAAACAAGAAATAATATTAACAACACCCTCCTCCTCCTCTTCTTCAAGTATGGTTTTGATTTAATACACTTCATATTGTCTGAGTGAGGGCTATCCATGGTTATGTTAATAATTTTTAAGCCAGATTTCTTTTTTTTTTTTTTTAATTGCCAAAACATATGTCGATGGATGGGCAGCCCTGGGAGCATAAGTTTATTGAAATTCCGTCGAGTAGCCTTGTGAAGTCTATCGAGTCATTCTTTTAATTGAAGTCCGAAAATGTCTGAATATGTTCCGAAAGTTTTTGAGGGTCTGGATGCAGTTGAAGACATGATACTTTGTTCATGAAACTGATTAATCTTTCAAAAATTTGGTACTACTTCTGTACTGTTTTTGTGACTATCGTTCTGCTGACTCAACAAAATCAGCAGCATCAGAGGCATTGGGTCAGATACTAGGTTTACCAGGGGGTTTTACTTATGTCTATGACTCTATTAGTGATAAAGTTTGTCAAAAATATACTTTTTTATTGTGGGAGGAGGGGCTGGGGCTGTGGCTTAGAAATGTAAGTAAGATGTAGCTGTTTGCTTTTTACGTGTGTATGTTATTTGCGGCTTGTGAATAGATGGTAAGTTTTCTACTATCTAGAGAACACTTTATATATATCTATTTATGCATCCCTTTTTGTGTCTTTGAGCATCTGTGGATGTGCGGTACATGATGTCTTTTTGTCACTGCAGGAAACAGCTGTTGCGTTTGTTGACATTTTCTGTTGTGTCGTATTTTGCAAGGACATTCTTTTGTGACTGTCTTCCCTTCAAACTTTCAAGTCTTTTCTCGCACAGCTGTTGTTCC